CAGTGGGAGGGATGGTGGCCAGGAAGCCCCTTCCTCTGGACCAGGAGCAGTGGGATGGTGGCTCAGAAGGCCCTCCCTCTGGAGCCCCAGGATTTATATGTTTAACTCTGTTATGGTTCTCAGTTTTCCTCTTAGCTTTACTTCCAGCATCACTAACTTTCTTTGGATCAGAGTTACAATATTTTATGCAAATAAAGCAGTGATGAATGTTTTAAGGCACTAACACAGGCACTGTGTGTTGTGTGGGTGAGAGTGATGCTTAGACTAGAGCATTATCCCTTTGTGTCCTAGGTGAAAAGTGACATGTGACTCACTCTCAGCCAGTACAGGTTTTTTACAGTTGGATTTCCGGTTTGACTATCAGGCAAAGTTATGGACACCAAGCAGATGTTTTTTCGAACTTTGCTGTTCCAGCAGTGGAAAGTTTGAGCTTAGAGCCATTTGTGAAAAATAAGCTTTGTCTTTTCTGTCAAAGCACAAGGTTCAAAACAACTCCATTTTGGATTTAAATGACCTAGCATCTACTCACTACTACCCCCTCCCCATTAATATCCTGAGCTCCGAGAAATGGTCATTATGTACACAGCTGGTTCCCAAGTTAAGAACCATGGACTTTTCCTTCCAAACTCCACTCCCCTCTCTAACTTATTCAGCAACACACCAACACAACTCCCATCCCATTCAAGTTAGTCAACCGCAATGGACTGTAAGCCTTTGAATTCAGTCAATGAATTTAAAGGTCAGCTGCTTCTCTTACACTAGGGATAAAGGGGGCCACGCTCCTTTGTTTTGTGCACCTGCTACCTCATGCTTGTATCCTTCTGGAGAAGTAAAATGTCCTGTCAATATTTCTTTATGTCTAAGTGCTTTATTATCTACAATGACAACTTGAGTCTGGGGACTTATTTCCAACACGTTTGACAACCAAGGTATCACTGTACTTACATACACTTTAGCAGATGAACACCCCTAATCTCAAAATCTGCAATCTCAAACTTTTTGAGCTTGATGGTAGCACTCAAAAAGTTTTAGATTTTTGAGCATATTCAATTTTGGATTTTCACATTAGGGATGCCCAACTCATACTTGAAGGCTTGGGAAAAGATGATATGGAAAGTTTGAAGAGCAAGAAGTTTTCACCAAAACCAATAAAAGACAGCTGTCAACTTGGAGTAAGATAAAACTTACAGCCTCAGCTCTGCACTCTTCTAGTTGAATATCCTTTGAAAGTCACTTAACTTCTCTGACGTTTTCTTGTTTGTAATAAATATCTCAAATAGGTGTTATAGGAGTTAAATAAGAAGAGCTAACTGTTAATATGCTATGTAAACGTCAGGGGTTCATATACAATAATTATGGGGACTACTTAAGCTTTTCCCAGGTTTTAACACCATTGGCTCCCGTAAGATCCAGGAGTCTCCTGTGGCTGCCCACATATATCAGACACACACCAGAAATAGCATTTGACTACTGTTCAGACATTCACCTCAGCAGTACTTGGGTAATGAGACAATAGCAGTTGCCACTAGGACTTGTTCACTGTTCCCTACCTGCCCCCAATCTTGAACATGGCCCCTTGAGGTAAGGAGGCCTCCTTTGATGATGGAAGTCTCATAAAGTGTGTAGCTGAAGGACTGACCACTCCCGTCATTCACAGACAGTTGCTCCATGGAGACTGGCTTGTCAGAGGTGATTGGCTGTGGCAGAGACAAGAGCAACAACCAAAGGTGCAGACTGGATAGAAGAACCTCAGAAACTGCCACCCAAAGCCCACTTCTCCAGTCTTGCAAACAAGAGTATCAAAGGGAACATGAAATGATAATCATGCTTAAGTGTGGCAAGTAAATTGCTCCCTTTTGTTTTCCAAACTAGCTAGTGAGGTATTCTTATATTCTAGAAAGAAAAGCTGAAGTAAAAAAAAAAAAAAAAGAGGAATGATTTTTAAGCATTTCTCATCAATTCATGGTAGACTCTGAAGAAGGTTCCTGATCCCAGAAATTCCAACTCAGCTGTGGCAGATGGTACATGGCTTTCTCTTTTTTTCCCCTTCAGCAGCCCTTAGGAGAAACCATCCTAGCCCACAGTCTAACTTTCACACTTTTTTTTGGTACCCAGGATGGAACTTGGGACCTTGTGCTTTCAAGGCAGGTGATGGCACCACTGAGCTAAATCCCCGGCCCCTTTCACACTCTTTTATAAACTGCATTTCTAGCACTAACCTAGAGTACTCCATGGCTCTTCACCCCCATGTCTACTGGACTTCTCCATCTAGGGGTTCAACGATGCTTCTAGGGCACTGTCACCCAAATGTATGTAAGACACATCCCAGCCTGCTCTTTTTCCTTATAAAGGGTAACACCATCCATCCAATCAAAAAGAAAATATAGTGTCCTCTCCTCTTGTTCTTCTTCTCCCTCCAATCCTATGGTATGTCAATCAGAAATCACCTCTCTTAGAGAATGACCCTAAATATCTGTTTCACTAATCTTCCTTCATATATCTGCTCCTTGAACTCAATTTCAATAGATTTCTACTTGGTTTATCCAGGATGGCCTCACTCTCATCTGTGCCTCATAGGGCTACCAAATGCTTTTGAAATTCAAATGAAAGTCAGATGGCTTCTCATAACTGGTGGAGAAATGTTCAAACTTCTCAGCATAAAAAATAGCCCTCCAGAACTCCTCAAAGTAGATGATTCAGGTCTATAGAGCACAGATTTTGAAACTTCCAGGGGATCAAAGAAACAAAGAAGATATCAAAAGCTAAGAGAGTTCTGTCAAGAGGACATAGACATCAACTTGAAGGGGCTCCTGCGGGTCTAAGATGGGACAAATGGAGCCTTACAAAGAGACCATGAGGGCTGGGGTTTTAGAACAGTGGTAAAACACTTGTTGGGGGAACTCCAAGAGGGTAGAAATATGCTAAAAGTATTAAATTTTTATGAGTCACTAAAAGAGCAACAGAGCAAAACAACTTATTGGCTGTCTTTCCAAGGCTACATAGGAATAAATTCATTTTTCTGATTAAAAAAAAACTTCTGTTCTGACTTTTCAGTATGAACTGTACTTCAGGATAGATAACTCATGAAGAAAAGTTCTTTTGTGTAGAAGAATTCAAATGAATCAATGCAGAAGCGTTACAGAATTAGAACATCACTTTTAAGGTTTTTAATGAAATACTGGTTTAATTTACCAGTATATGGCTAATATTTTTTCACTTAAACTTTACTCTTCCTTCCCTAACTTATATAGGATTATTTTAAAGCAGATCCTATACATTATAGAATTTCAACTCCAAATAGTTCAAAATGTATCTCAAAAGATTAAGACTTTAAAAACAACTATAAAATCATCATCACAGTAATAATAATAATAGTAAAAGTTATAGTAATTTCCTTAAATCAGTGTCTTACTGGGAGATGTTTAGCAACTGTCTTTCTAGAAGACAAAATCCTTTAAGATGTAGTGTTTGCAATTTCTGCGGTGTAAATACTTTCACCATGTTTCATTTTAATGCACTAATTATGGCTATTAAAAGCATTAGGGAGAAATTTGATGAGAAAATTGAAAATGAATAGGTAAACTGACAGTACCTGAATTCTCTGATAAATTATGAAACCAGCGACAACCAGAATTATGTGCCTAGATATGATGCATAGAAAACACAGCAGTCAGCATTCTTTGAGGCTGAGGTAGGAAGATTGCAAGATCAAGGCCAGCCTGGGCAATTTAATGACTTAGCAAAACCTTGTCTGAATAAACAAACAAATAAAAAGGACTGGACAAGTATCACAGTGTGTCGGCCCTTAATCTTTAACACACACACACACACACACACACACACAGCACAATAGCACCACCTACAAAGTATTCTTACAAATATATTTCAGTAAACTTACTTTAAAGCCTTGAGATCAAACTATCAATTTACATAAAATCCAGGGAAAATAGAGGCATGTTACCTGACACATGAGGATCTAGTCTACAAAACAAAACCCAGACCATAGGGAATTCTAGTACAAATAGCCCAGATTTTCAACAAATAAAATAAAGAAAAACTCTTTAGACTAATAGAGACTTAAGTAACACACCATTGAAATGCAAAGTGTGATGGTCCTTTCCTGAAATTAACAAACCAATTCTATAAAAGGTTATGCGATGATTGAGGAAACATGCACAGTAGATATTCCATGACTTTAAACTGGTATGGTGTGAGGCACAGAGGCTGCTTGTACTAAAATTTGAGAGCTATCTACACATATATCTTTCCAACTCTTTGCTCAGTATCATGTTAGTAGCTTGAAATTAGCCATTGGGAATACTTACACCACAGAAATTGGCAACACTGTGAATAAGATATTTTTCTTCCAGAGAACCAGTTGCTAAACATTTCCCAGGGCATCACTAATTTGAACAATTATTACTATTATTATTACTCATCTTAGCAGTGATGTGTTAGCTCTCCATTGCTGTGACAAAATACTTGAGAATAATTTAAAGGAAAAAACATTTATTTTGGCTCATGGTTTCAGAAGTTTCAGTCCATGGTCACTAATTTCTAGGCCTGTACATAGTGGGGCAGAAATATCATGGCAGAAGGGCATGGCAGAGAAAAACTATTCATCTCATGGCAGCCAGAAAACAGAAAGGGAGAGAGGGAAAGAGCTCAAGAGGAAGGGGCTAAGGACAAAATGTACCTTTTGAAGACACCCCAGTGACCTGTTTCATTCAGTTAGGCCCACACCCTAAGAAGCCCACAAAGCAATTGTGAACTCACCATTAATGACGTTAGAGCTCTTGTGATCCAATCACTTCCCAAGACCTCCCCTCTAAATACGGCTACGCTGGGGACCAAACCCCCAACAATGAGCCTCAGGAGACATATAACCAAACCATAATAGGTGACAATGATTTTGTTGAGTTTTTTTTCGAAGTCTTTATTGTTCAACATACATAGATAGTTAAAATTTTACAGTGCCTGAGATCTGCTTTTAAATAATCTTATGCAGAGTAGAGAGAGAAGAGTAGGGTATAGGTATAAAGAGATTGGCCAGGTATTGAAGTTCCAGCTGGATGGTGAGTACACGGGGGTCCCTACTATTCTCTCCACTCTTTAAAACTTCATAGGAAAATGTTAGAAACCAACCCATGAAGGCCCTGCACTGTGTGGCACCTGGCTCCCTTCCTAACACTGTCCCATACAGTGGGACACTTCCACTCTACCCCAACTGCAGCTCTTGGGACATAGCACTTCCTCCTGGTCTTTACAACTGGGGCCCTGGGTGCCTCAGGCACCTCACCCTTCTCATTCCATGTCTACCATACTGTCTGCTCCTGTTCACCTTTGGATCCCGGAATCACTTATTGGGATCCCACAACTATCCATCCTGCTGACCATGTCTCTATGACAATAACGACACCCCACATCTAGTTAGTATCTATACCCACTAGCTGCAGATATCAGCTATTTAATCCACACAATCCAGTGAGGTTGATGCAATTAGCCTCTTTTTACAGATGAAGAAACTTAAATGACCTCCTTGAGGTTGATCGAATAGCACGTAAATAGCAGATGAAGGTTCAGATCTGGACAGTGACTTGGGAGCAAGTACTCTTTAGCAGTTTCCTGTTTCCTTGACCTGTGATCCTCTGATCTCTTTATTCACTGTTCCTTCTCATTAGACTGGGCTTGTCTAAAACAACATCTTGATAATATAATTCCCAAAACATTATTAATTTAGTGAATGTCACAAAAGTATGCAGTTTTCCCTCTAGACCAGGAGTTTTCAAATTGTGTGTCCTGGGAACCATGGTGCTAAGTTAGAAGTGGTACTATTTTAGAGAAGATATGACTGAGCCTTAGAGAGGAGGAGGAAAGCATAGTTACAGAACGAGCACCCCTGATTTATGTCTTCCATACTGAACTTAACAGCAAGTTTTTAAAAAGTCCCTCTATTAAAACAAAAGTTTAAAAATCATTGCCTTAGATCTGGTCAGTGTACCTTCATTCTACCAACCTTAAGAAAGCAGGGGACCTCTTGCCAGTGAGATTATGAAAAGGAAGTTCCCAATATTCTACAATGTTTATACTAATCTTCAAATTCAAATGTCTACTCTGAATTTGTATTCTAACTTTCCTATTCTGAATTGTAAACTTGGGACAAGAAACTAACAGTTCTAAGGATTGTTTTTCATTCCCTATCATTTACTCCATGTCCTTTGAACTAAGCCTTTCATTCCTCTTTTCCAAAAGCTTTCCCACATATATATGTCCAGGAAATGCTCACCTGGTCCAGGTAGGGCAGGATTTCCCATAGGGACATGAAGTGGAATTTCATCACTGAGTTGTAGACAACCTTCGACATATGTTCTGGTGGTAAGGCTGTGGGAAACTCTGCAATGAAAAGCAGGCCCATTTAAGGACACAAAGTACCCTGCTATCCCACAGCTGCCAGAGCAAGGGCCTAGTTGCAGGGCATGACTTCTGAACTATGGGAAGTGTCAAGGAAGACTCACACCCATTAGCTCTGAGGCAGGGCCTTGCTACCCTGGCAAAAGACAAGCACATCAGTCCCACCTGCTGGACCAGTAGCTCTCAACCCTGGCCCTCAGAATCTACCCCTCCTTTCCTGAAACTTCTGGATTTTATAACCACTATAGATAATTCCATGTCCAGTAAAGACCAGGCAGTATGGTCCTGTGCTGGGCACCTCCAGAGCAGATCCTTCACCCCAAGCATAGCTACTGCCTGATGATAAAATACACAGGAACAAACTAGACTTCAACCTAACATATCTCCCCCTCCTTCCTCTCTCCCCTCTTCCTGGGACAGAGGCTATTTGGGAAGGCTGAGTCACCACTAAGATTGAGGTCCTCACTCAGTACCTGAAACAGAGTGAAAAAACTCTTGAAATATGAGATACTCAGGCGTGTAGTTTCCATCCTCTGTCAGCAGTGTCCCATAGTCTGGAAAGTACAGAGAAATTTGTCATTTTTCCCAAGAAACCCTTGCTTCAGGTTCCTTTCCCAGGAAGAGAGGAGGGCTTAACACAGAGCAAAAAGCACCTTAATTAGCAGCTTTGGGAGGAAAAACTGTGCCTTAGATAAGAAAATTCCATGTCCCTATTAATTCAAACTAAGAAACCTCTGCCAAGTTAAGGAAGGATTTCAATAGCAGGCAAATTACACCAATCCATACATCTCTAACAAGTCCTGGCCAAGAGCTTGAGTTCTCTAATCCAGTGGTTCCTCCTTTCTTTCCCATTTCTAAGTGAACTCCTTTTATTGATTCACCCTTGATTTCCTATGTGGTCTTTTAGATTTGTGGACTGGGGAAGACACATTAACAGATACCTTAGTGCTATCAGGAGACTTAAAGCAACTGCTTCTGCAGGGAACTTCTAATACAAGGGTCTGCACAACAAAATTAAGCTGTTAACTGCTCTGCTTGCAAAGCCCCAGAAAGCCTAGATCCTAGTGTTGGATAAATTCTAGCACTGTCAAGAACAACAACAAAAAAGAAATCCTCAATCCTCAGCATATATTCACAGCAAAAAAAGAGGAGCAGTGCCAGAGATTGTCCTCAGGGGCCTACCCTAAGAAGCTCCAGGGTTCTGTGATGAGTGGCCTTGGGTGGAGATAATTCTAGGGGAAAGTACTTGCCATAGCTGGTAACTGCAGGGAGGTTAACATCCAAAGACTCAGCTCCACCCATGAAGCCAAAGTTGGTACCACCATGGAACATGTAGAAGTTGAGGGAGAATCTAAGCTTGAACATCTCATGTACATCCTTCATTAGCACTGCATAGAAAAAGAAGGAGCAGTTTAGGGAATTCAAATTTGAGAGAATTCATAGCTCTTCACTGGATTTTCAAATCACCTACAGCAAAATATTCAAGCTCTATCAAGATCCCATGCCAGAAGCCGTGGGAGATGACTGAAGATCCTTCAGCCCTGGAAGACTGGTGGAGTTACTCCCAGTTCACATTCATCACCCAAGGTCTTCTGGGTTTCACATTTGGGAGAGATTTTTCTAGCACACAAATCGTTTGTCAAATATTTGCTTGTACCTTTGTTCTTAGGTATATGTACAGTCAGTTTAGTGTTTCTAAGGCATTTACTAGCTTCTAACAGTTACTGATCTGAAATTATGGCACCAGAAATTTACCTTCAAACTCTTTTTTATGGTTCTGGATATTGAAAACAGGGTCTTTGCACTACAAAGCTACATCCCAAGAACTTTGTTATTTTTATTTTGAGACAGAGTCTCAGTAACTTGCCCAGGCTGGGCTCAAATTTAGAATCCTCCTTCCTGAACCTCCCCGAGTTCTGGGATTACAGGCATATGCCACCACACTCACCTTCAAACTCCATTTTAATGATTATCAATTGTCCAGGGAGGACTACAGAATTAAAATCAGCTAATCTGGGGCCAGATAACTTTTCTACTTTTGCCCAACACACCTTCATTGAGTCCCCTTATTTGATAGAATAATGCAATCTAACTAGTTTTATAGCCTCAGTAAAATATATTACAATGGCAACAGCTGAAACTTAAATTTCAGTTACAGTGACCTCCTGGTGTTCACTCTCTGGTCATCTTACCCCCACAGGTATGTGTGAGGTGGCCATGTGATCACAGTGGTGTTTATGGAGCTGAAACATCTAGGAACATGTCCCCTAAGTCTCAAGTGCTAAATCACCAGGAAGAAACAGCCTAGTGCTGTCAGCACTGCATGTTTTCCCAAGGCAGGAACTATTAGAACTCACTGTGTTCATCGAGACTGCAGCGGGTCATACCCCACGTGTCAAAATCACTCGCTGTGTACACCATCATCAGTACAGGGCTAGGACCCTAGAAAACCAAGTATCAATTCAAAAAACTATAATGCAATCCAGAAGGCCTGACTGGGTTAGGAGGGAGTTGTGAAGTCCGGCGCTCAACACCTCCTCTGCACCTCAGAGCATACTGGCCTAGCTCATGAACTGAGTGTCCTCTCTTGTTCTCACATCATTGTTCTGGTCTTGTTCTTTCTCTTGTCCTTTCAAAGATCATCTTGCCCAAGCCTTGGTAAAATCAATTGCCATTTCAATGTTGTCCTTTCTAAATCTCTTTTTTTAGCCACGTTGCTTAAATGTTATTATATTTTAATACAGACATATACCCCTGATAACCTGATGATAATTTGTAAGTTTGGTACATCACATTTTTAGAAAGCACATAATATTGGCATTCAAATAAAATGAAGCAGTAGCTATAGTCTTTTTTTAATAAGCCTTGATCAATTTTAAAAGATCAACAGTGGATTTTTGAAAATCAAAAGAAAAGGAAAGTAAATGCCTCCCCACATACATAAGAACCACATGCTGGCATTTGCATTTTAAATGTGTGGAACAAAATGGCCCAGATTCTCAAAGGCAATTAATAATAGTTTGTACAACTGTTTTGGCATAAAATAAGAGTAAGCATCCCATGGAAGATACAGTTCAATGTTTCCTCCTCTTCTCAGACTGCCCCACTTCTACCAGGCAACAATAAATATGCAAGCACCCCTACAGTCCTACTGAGGAAACTAAAATAACCTAGGTTTTAAAATGGCTGCTCAGATGACAGAAGAAGAGTTCTTTCCCTTAACATAAAGTGGCAGAGAACACTAGCAGGTACCAATTTCTTTGATCAGGAGTGAAGATCTCTTGTAAGGAACTCATTATTTTCCAAGTCCTTTTTAACCTATCATGCTCATTCTTTTTATTGCTAAACAAGTCTACTAATTATGATTGTATTTATGTCCAGGGAATATCCCCCAGTGTCTCAGCCAATTTCCTCCTTGCTTAGACACAATAGCTGACACCTGATACTTAAAGAACGAGAGGTTTATTTTGGCTCACAGTTTCAGAAGTTCTACCATGTTCAGCAGGCTTAAACACAGAAATGGGATGGTGGAAGGCCCTGGACAGAGAAAAGCTGCTTACATCAGGGTAGCCAGGAAGCACAAAGAGAAGGGAAGAACCAACCGCAAAGCGAAATTCAGTCTTCAAGTCATACCCTCGTGACCCGCTTCTTCCCACAGCAAGTGAGCCAGCCACATCACTTCCATGATTCCATCATCACCTTCCATCACCAGGCCTAAGAGCACTTGAGGCCATCAAAGCACATTCTTGATCCAAATTCCCACACCCAAGCAGACCTGATCTATTTCTATTTCCTTAAAGAAAAGGTACACTTACTTTACATAATGCCATTGGTTTTCTCTTATTTATTTTTTCTTTCTAGTATGTAATTTGTTATTTATCAAGGCAAATTGTAGGTTTGCATAAAAAAAGATAAATTATCAAGTAGATCCTAAAACATATTTCTTAATTTGAGTAACATCTGAAAACCTGACTTTATTATAGCGCCCATCGAAAATTCATGCAGTGTTGGTGGTGATCTAAGAATTTTATAATGTCATTTCTGACATAAGTTGCATCCCTCAATATACACGTATTTAAAAAAAAATAAGTCTTAAAGTAGTAGTTTCTTCTATACTAGCTGATACATTTTTTATAGCAAATTGAAAATTGTGAGTAAATGAAAGAAATGTCTAACAACATAATAAATACAGTATATGTGGCTATGTGGTTTATTAAAGGCAGCAAGAAATTTTTCATTTTGCAGCAGATCTGTAAATCCAGCTTTTTTTCTGTAATATTATGTCAAGAAACTACTTTATAGATATAGTGTCTCACAAAATCATGTTCCGTGGGGCTAGAAAATGTCTTTTTTTTTTTGCAAAAGTCTCTGATGAGCTATTTCCCCAAATATTATGTAATTCTTTAACTTTCCAGGGAAAATATGAAAATTTGACTTATTAAATGTTGTTGAACAAAAAGTTAGATTAATATCAAGTGCTTTTTAATAATTTTCTCTAATATTTTTTAAGTTTTAACATATCTGGTGTTTTTGAGTTGCACATCTATAGAAGATAACTATTAACACACTTGGACCTAGTATCTAGGTGACAAAACATACTAGGTGATTTCAAAAGATCAGTCTTAAAATCTGATTCATTTGGCACATCCTTAATAATATCCAAAATAAAAAATATCAGTAGACATAAAACAATTTTCAGCCAGGTATGATAGTACACACCTGTAATCCCAGCACTTAGGAGGCTGGGCAGAAGAATTGCAGAGTTTGAGGCCAGCCTGGGTTACATAGTGAGATCAAGGCCAGCCTGGACTACATAGAGAAAACCTGTCTCAAAAACAAAACAACAACAACAAAATTTTTCAAGAAACTCATACATGCTAGAGTCTTAAGAAAAAAGAGTTGCTAAATGTAAAAATGAAGAGTTTCTGCTCATTTTACTGGTTGCACACCTTTATCCTTAGGCAGTAACTCAGGCTTTCTGGTTCGTCTGTAGAATTTCTGTGGTAGGGAAGCATATGCATAGGCCAGATCATGCTAGTTTCGGTTCCAAAGAATATTTCCAGCACCCTTTTTTTCTGGTAACATCCCAGGAGGGATGTTGGGCTCCATAAGCCTCAGTCTCCTGATCACTGTTTGCAGTTCACCACCCTCAGGCTGAACCAGAGTCTCTCTCATCAGATTACCAGAGCCCTCGGTTTTGGGAAGGTTAAATCTGATGTTGCAGACTCTGCCACCAGCTGGATGATGCCGCAAGCAGTGAGGTGTTCACAACGACCTCAATGGACACATCCAGGTCAAGAGCTGCATCTGTCTCACGAGCTCTATCTTCTGCCTGTGGAAGTGTCCCTGGAAACCACCCAAAAGCCAGTTATATTTGGTGAAATTTTTCAGCTTATGCTGGGCCAACCCAGTCATGACATCATCCAGATGAGCTTCCCTCAGACAATGAAAGTCTTGGCTAACACAACAACTTCATGTTTTGTCTGAGCAGGTCCCAAAGGGTGGGGCATCAGCTCAAAGGGTCCAATGATGCACAACAGCAACACCATGCCCTTTCCAGAACCCAGAGCCTCTGGGATCACAGCACATTAGCCTCACAGATGCCCCTGGCTGTAAACAGGAGTTTAAGATGCGCTTGACAGACAATGGGCCTTTGGCCTGGCCTTGCACACTCTTGGGTCCATGGCCCAGAAACTTCTAGAAACAAAATCTTTTCATTTTCTTGTGTGACCAGAGTAGAGGTCTAGTAATAAAATACCTACACCAATGGAACTAAAAATGCTCAACAAATGAATACAGAAGTGTTGAGCCCCATTAAAGGAGAAATCCCCAAGCCCAGGGTTCTCACACATCTTCTAGTGCCCCCCCCCCCGCTTCCCTTTGCCACCCCTGTCACCTCTAGCTTTCTCCTTTTCCCAATCCCTGGGGATTTACTGGCCTCTCCGTGCAGGCTGGACTCTGTAGTTGGCTCCTTCAATTCCGCTGCTTCTAGCAGACCTATAGTTAATCCATCCTTTGAATCTGGGCTCTCATTATTACCACAATGCTAGCTCGGGGCCTCCCAGACCTCTGCTGGATCTGTGTTCATGCCTATGCTGCCAAAGGCTTCCTATCAGCTCCTAAGACAGTGACAACTTGGTCTGCTACAAATTCTTGTGGCTTGACCTTGTCTTTGTACTTCTGCCTGGAAATCTTCATGTTTAATTTTTTAAAACTTCTATTTGAATTCAAAAATAATGTTCCCTGCCACACAAGCACAAGGTCCTGAGTTTCATCCCCAGTACCAAAAAAAAAAAGTTCTCAACATTTTAAGGTTAATTACTCTGTAGCCACATGGTTCAAACCTCTGCAACTTCCTCCCTTTTGCTTTCACAGAATCCCAAAATCACATATTGAAACCCTTACCCAAGGTGATGAGGTCAGGAAAGTGGAGCCTTCCTGAATAGGATGGAGCCCTTACAAAAAGAGGTCCTATAAAGAGAGGTCCCAGAGGGCTGCCTGTCCCCTTCTACCATGGAGGATACAGCAAGAAGATGCTATCTATGAAGCAGGAAGCAGGCATTCACCAGACATCAAATCTGCCAGCAACTTGGTCTTGGATTTCCCAGCCTCCAGAACTGTGAGAAATAAAATTTTTGTTGTTTATAAGCCACTCTGTTTATGATATTTAGTTGCCTAAACAAAGACTTATAAGTTTTAACATTAAGAAAGATTTTAAGGTATTTTAGTATATAGTGCTTCTCATCTCCTGTGCACATTGCCATCTCTAAGGACTGGACCACATACAGGAAGTTCATAGCAACTCTTTATTTTTATGTGATGAAGAATTTACTGCTAGGTATGACGGTACATTCCACTTTTGGAGAATCTGATTGTTAGAAGTCATAATCCCTATAATGATCCAATATATATTTTCTTATTAATGTTTACCCATTGGAAATAATTTTGTTCTTTGGTACTGAAAAGAATTTCCCTTTCATATGAAAATACTCTAAAATTTTGAAGATACCCACCAAATGAGTCTTCTTTCTAATGTGAGACTCAATCCTAGTTGTTTTACTTTATTTTTACATGACCCATAAACCTGTTTGCTGGAAGTATCCCATTTTGTTAAAATATCTCCTAAGACATGATGGCCTGAGCAAAAGGAAACAAGAAAAAACACTTGAAATGTGTTATTACCAATATGGAGAAATATGATAACATAACTTCTATTAATGAAACCTGAGTTTTCAATGCTACTGGCAGTAGATGTCACAGATGGGGAGCCTGAGGTCGGCTATTCCCAGTCTCTTTCACATAGCATTCTGATAAGCTGGCTCTGTTCCCTTCTGCATTTTGAGCCTGGTGCTTTGCTGCTTTTGTTTTTATTTAATATTTTATTGTAGTGGCAAAGATCAAACCTAAGGCCTCCAGCATGCTAGCCAAGTACTCTATCACTGAGCTAGATCTGTAGCCCTTGTTTGGGGTTTTAATGCAGGGACTCTACAGTTAATTACTCCCTGTTGATTCCATGGGACCACCTGCTTCCCAGCACATTCTCATCTGGACCCTTGACAAGCACAGCTTGTTCATCTTCTCTCTGGAGAATAATGATGAGAACAGAGGTGGCAATAGGGCCACCAGGAAATGAACAAGCCTGGATGTACTCAGTACAAGGAGCATTTCTGTTTGATCATCAGTGTATATCCAGAGCTTTGCAAAAAACCTGACTCCAAATAAGTTTAAAAAGTGCCCACTTCAAATATCTAAATTTGCAACCTCTAACTTCTCATCTAGTTCAAGTTATAGCTCCCCCTCAGCTATGTGGTCCCTACTTATCCAGTATGGACAGCATTCTCACTAGTGAAAAACACAATGCAAACTTAGAGCTTGAAAACTGCTTTCTCCCTATATTCAGTTAATACTACAACCCAAAAATTATTTTTGTCATGTGGTTCTCTTTCTTGGTCAAGTGTAAGAAATGCACTGAAAAAAAATGACAAGGGCTCTCTAACACTGTGGGTTATGGACCAGTATTGTGGGCATAATTCAGTTTAACCTAAAATCTACAGGCACACATTCAAATTTTCACTGAACTAATTACTCCTGAGAATTCCCCAACAAATCAGGTCTTAGCATGGTCCAGGCATGCATAAGAATCCAGACAGCTCCCATCTCTGAAGTGCCCTTACCTGAACTGCACAGGTCTTCATAAGTTTTCTTCTTTACATCCTTCAGGTGGATAGTGGCCAGCACTGTGGAGGGAAAGTACAAGCTGTGCCCAAGTTCTGCTCTGATCTCAACAATGCAGGGGCAGAAAGGGCTGCAGAGCTGAGCTCAGCACCTCCTGCACATGCACCCCCAGACATCACTCTTAACATGCCACTGGCAAACAAAAGAGCATGATCCTTCACTTGTACCCACACTTGCAGAATACAAAGGGCTGTCAAATATATCCCTTCATTTAGCATTTACAATGAATGATGCAAAGATGTAAAAAAAAAGCAGTTAAAACAGCCACATGATATTAAGGGACAGATGAAGGTCAAATGAAGAAATTCAGCCCAGAGTCCACTAACTTGACTATAAGTCTCTAAGCCTTCTGCCTCTGCTTTTCTGATAGACCCCAAGGCCTCACTCAAGCTAAGCACACACACTTTTGCTAGGCTACACCCTCAACCCCTGATGACTAATGCAGAACTCTGACCTGCATCTCCCACTACAGGGCAGGGAACAGCCACCAAAGAGCCCAGAGGAGATAGCAGTGGAGAAGAAAGACCCTGGCATGACTGCTTGGATTAAAGATGTCCAGATGGCACATTTCTCTGTCTTTTGTTATTGTTGTTCAGTGCTGGAGATGGAACCCAGGGTCTCATACGCTAGGTAAGTGCTCTTTCAACAAGCTACATTTCTAGTCCTTCTCTGTCTCCATGTGTCTGCATGTTACGTTTATCCATTTTCCTGCAAATAGATTCGTGTTTCCTCCTTTTAATAGTATTCCATAGCCCCCTAAACTGCTCTTTTACTTTTTCTTCCAGGTTATTTATATTTTTAAGGTTCTGGGACCTGGCAAAGGGCTTTGATCATGCTAGGCAAGAGCTCGACTCCTGAGCTACACCAAGACCTCACTGCTTTTATTCTCCGGGTTGGTTACCCCGGGAGCCCTGGTCTGGTTTGATGGTAGTACTGTTTCTCTGACCCTCATCCACTCCTTGTCACTCTTTTGGCAGCACTGGAGAAAACTTTGCTCTGGGCTCAGCCAGACCCTGCTCTGGGCCACCAAGTGATTGAGGAGGATAGAGTAAACATTCTGCACTATTAGTGCTCTTGGGTGTCACAGCTGGTGGGGCCCAGCTTTCTAACTCAGCTGTGGCCACAAGTCTTCACTTTTACCCAAAGGTCATGGGCCTCCTCACAGGACACAGCAAAGACCAGTCCAGCAGTACCTGTCCATACTTTCTCACTGGATGCTTGGAAGAAAGAGGCAAAACCAAAACTGTACCATTTTTCAAGTGGCCTTTTCTCAGTTCTAGTCCTTTATCTGCAGTCACGAGCCGTACCTTGATCTCTCTCATCTCCAGTGCCTAGGGAGAAAGTCAGAAAGTTAAATGGATTGTTTCTGGTCCCATAGGATTGCCTCTTTCTGAAAAAAATTATGGTATTAAAAATAGTAGAAGGAAGCTAAGGCATGGGGAAGGTCTACTTCTTTGCCCAAATATTTATGAGTAGGATGTTAAGACAAAAATATCATCCCTGCCTCAGTTACCGAGCAAGGCCAAACTAGCAAGTGGTATTTACAGCCTCACAGAAGAAGAACTGGGATTGGTGAGAGTCACCTAATACTTTCCCCTAAGAATCTGAATTCTGGATTTTCTCCAGACAGCATAAGACAAACACTCTTGTCTGCACTGTCACCCCAAATGACTACATCTCATGGGCTGAATTCAAAGTATGTATTTACAAGCCCACACACCATTGCTAGTTCTCCTTCAGCCAATGCTGAAGGAAGGTAAGTTGTGGCTTAGTCCACCCACAGTCACACTTTTTGGTGCATGAGCCATTAATGTTCCTACACTAACTAGAAACAACTCTAGGAGACTCTAAATCAAAGACAGAGAGAAGAAGTTAAGGAACTTATCTAATCCAGGGATAAAATACTGAGACTGTAGCCATGCATACTAAGAAAATCCAACAATGTACCCAGATGGGCTTTTTGGACCAAAATATCTTGAAAGTGAAAATACACTTGCATTAACCCTCAAGCCCTTTGTTGAATATCAGGAGGTGACTTGTTTCTACTGGACATGTTTGAAAAATAGAGGAAGCCAAGAAGTAACTCAAATGAGAGAAGCCAAATGTTATCTATCAATTAGTGTCACTCCACTCCAACTCACAGAGGTCCTGTGAGAAGCAAGTGTTTCATCTCTGACCCCAGCAAACAACATGGCTTACTGGCAAGTGGCCATATAACATATCCAAACTAGAAGACTTGAGAACAAAAGAAGATGGTAGTGTTTCTTCCTGGGGATGAGCTGGTCAAAGCAGAATGCATGGTTTACAACTCATATGAAGAGTAATAGAGTCTATTTCTACAAATGAGGACTGCTTTTATATCCACTGGACCTTTCTTCTAATTACAGCTAGTCATAATGGACTGAACATTTCCTGAAGACTTATTGGAAAATATGGGATATGTAAGGACTTTGAGGAGGATATGTAGACTTTGAGGAGCTGCAATCACAGAGAGGCAGGGAAGCTGGCATTTGGCACTGCTTTTCCTGTGAGGCAATGGAGGCTGATTCTTAAAGCATCAGCCAAGAGTCTGAAAAGCTGAGTGGGGTTGCCACCAGTTTTACAAGACATGCGGAAAGAAGCTACAGGACCTAAAAGATGACCCCCTAGAAACAAAGGTGAAGAAGAATTAGATCAGCTTTTACAAGGACAGAAGCTCAGTTTCAAATCATTGAGAAATTATGCTTGAAGCAAAATGAACCATCTAGGAGGTAACCAAAGGCTTCAAATGATCTCAACGTTCTCATAAATAAATGTCTAACATTGAAAAAATATGATTAGGCTGACCAGAAGGTAACATTTTACAGAAACCATTAGAAGAATCACACAGAAACAGATCCCTAGAGAATCATATATTAGGTTTATTAGACATAGATTCTGAAATAGATACCTAATTAATGTGCCCAGGAAATTAAAGAAAAATTGGGAAATGTTGACAAATAGAAATAATAAAAAAGAATCAAACAAAGGTAGAACAAAAATTTAAAATATCTGAAACTAGGAACTTAATTGGAGTTCAACATCATATTAGACAAAGCTAAAGAGAAAAATCAATGAATTAGAGGGTAGATTAGAAGAAATGATGAAAAGAGCATAATAGATACATGGAATATGATGAAAACACCTAACATGTGTCATTGAAATGACCTGAGAAGAGAAAGAAAACAAAGCATATAAATGTAGACAATCAATCTATCTACCTTTTTTTTTTAGTATTAGGGATTGCACTTAGGACATTCTCTCTGAGCTATAAACACCACGCCTCTTTCTGAAACAGGATCTCATTAAGTCACTAAATTGCCCAGGAAAAGCTTGAACTTGTAATTATGCCTCAGCTTCCCAGAGTGATGAGATTACAGATGTGTGCCACCACACCTGGCTGAGAATTTTGCCAAATTGATTCAACACTTCAAGACACAAACTTAAGAGTGCAAAAAATTCAGTGGATAAGCAGAAAGAACACAATACCCATGCAATCTTAGTAAAATTTCTGGAAACAAAACAAACTAAGAAACACAAGTATTAAAAGTATCCAGAAGAAAAAAGAAATTTTACCTTCAAAGGAACAATAATTTTATTGATGCCTAACCTCTTAGTAAAAACAATAGATGCCAAAAAACATACACAAAGTAAATAACAGCCAACCAAAGACTCTTCAAGAAATAAAAGCATCCTTAAGCATATTTTTAGACAAACAACAGAGTTTGTACTAGAATGCCTGTAACAAAGAAAACATTAAAAACAGAAAAAAGTGATAAAAGAGATGAAAACTCACAGATGCGGGGGTGGGGAGCAACGAAAAATAAATTATTTGAGTAATCTAAATAACAATTAACTTTATAACAAAAGTGAAAGACCCTAGTTAGCAAGACAGACTCCATATTGCTGCTTGACCCACCTGCCTGTCCTTTGGATGAACTCAGAAGGAGGAAGCTTAGAAACCTCCTCCCCTTAGAAAGTCTCTTTAGAAATAACAATGAACTATTGTTTTACAAATGTTTTAACAGCAGGACGTTCCCCTTCTGTACCTTTTGCTTGCTTTACTAGTTCTATCCCTTGGGGGGGGGGGGCCTAGGAACTGTTGTCCTCAAAGGTGTATAAAACATGTCTGTCAACCCCCAGTTGAGGCTTGAGTCCAATGCTCAGCTCAGGCCGGTAACAAACTCCTGTGTGGATTTAATATCGGTCTCTGGTTGGTTTTTGCTGGGTGTAACAAAAAGTAATGATAATGTCTTATGGGATGCATAGATAGATAGATAGATAGAGTTAAAACAAATGATAACAATAGTACCTAAGGTGAGAGGAAAGAAAATATGATTAAACTGTTTTAAGGTGCTTGCTTCCCCCTGAAATTGGAAAACATATTAATTTAGATGTTAATAATTCAAAGATAGAGTCGCGCTGAAAACACCGAATCAGCCTGCTGCAGACAGGCAGGTCTGTGGACGCGGTCCGAGGTCGCCAGTCCGTGGAAAAAATCAGCCCGCGCCCGACAGCAATCCACTGGTCCCACCCCCCACCCCCCACCCCCCTCCTTTGGCCTCTTCTCTGTACAGCCACCTGGTTCCACACTACAAAGATGCAGAGGACACCAGACAACCAGACCACTGTACTGGAGCTAATCAAGTTCTCAGCATTTAAAGAATTCCTGCCCAGAGGTAGGGGCTTCTGAGCTGCCGTCCCACTGCTCCTGGTCCAGAGGAAGGGGCTTCCAGGCCTCCAAACATCCCACCATTCCCGGCCCAGACATAGGGGCTTTCGGTCCACCATCCCTAATGCTGCTCCCGGCCCTTGGCCCACCTCTCCCAGATCAGAGGAGGTGAGCTGCATAGACATCAACAGCACCGCCCTGCCCCCACCAGTAGAAATGAGAAAACACGTAAATAAGTATCAAAACCAGACTTCCAGATCACCTACAGCAACCTCAAAGGGAAATGAGAAGGAACACTCTGATACTCAACCACCTGGACCCACTGAACTGGCAACAAAAGGGGATCTGGAAAAAATGAAATCAGA